TGCAAAAATAATTTAAACCAAACCAAATTTTCGTGTTAAATATGTAAGAAATTAATTCATACCGAGATAATATGCACAATAGTTGAATTATTTGTCTTATTTTACTACACTGTATATGCATCATGTTATACTTCAGTACCGTAAAATAACAAAATATATATATTTAAAAAATGCTCTTCAGTTGCCTTTATCTGATTTTAATTACGATTCACATTGGCCTTTCTTATTATGTAAAGGAACAGCAAAAGACGACTGCCTCTTTTTGCCTTTTTAATGCATGGTCTTGAGCTATATGTCTGGCATGTAAATATGTGACTAGATAAATGGAGATAAGGATTCAAAAAACCACAGTATGGTAACCCGGAGAATCGGGATCAAACTCTGTACAAAACATAAACAAGGAAATTGTTTGGTTTATAATAAATCTTACTGTAATAAACGCCGAAAAAAAAGTTGAAATAGAAATTAAAACAAGTCACTAGGTTTGGTGGTATTAGAAAAATCAGTCATCTGCTGGACATCTACTTGTATTAATATTGAAACTATGCACAAGGTTTCCTTAATTTTTTTTTTAGGAAATTTGCACAAAAATCATAGTGTAATCATTTTAAACGAATTGTCAAGAGGGAAAATGGATAATTTCGTTAAATGTGAAAAAAATAGTAGGTGGGGTAAGTTCTAAGTTTCACTTATAAGTTTCACTTATAAATGGGAAGGATTAGTCCTCCACTCGACTCTCTTAAAACACGCAAGCAATTTTATTTATGATAATCAATTTCCAGGGAAGACCAATGAATATTTTTTTACGTTCATCTTATGAATGAACTAGAAAATAATTTATAAACCTTGATTGTCAAAAGCCTAGTCGTACAACATTTGTCTATCTAGATCAGCTCATGTTAATTTCCCAAAACGTCTTTACAGCTCTCTCTCTCTCTCTCTCTCTCTCTCTCTCTCTCTCTCTCTCTCTCTCTCTCGTGTACAAGATATTGCATTCTTACATGTATATCAGTTTTTATCTTTGAATTTTGCAAAAATATTATTTCAAGGGAAACACGTCGTATTATTTATACAAAAAAATATACAAACAAATAATTAAAAAAAGAGAAACATACCAAAAAAGCAAAGCCACGCAATTTATGAGTAAAGGGGAAAAAGAATATCACTGGGTATGACCGAATTTTCACGATGTTATAACCTTCATGGAGTCAGGTCCAATAATTATAACTTGACAGCGCCCAACCATAAATGAGGTCAGAGCATCGTGTGTAGTGCTCTTTAATCAGGTATAGTAATGTTTGTTAAGGAAACTCCGATGAATCACATGTATTAGTTATATTTTTTTTAAGTAATTAGCGCTATCATATACCGTTTAGCAGGTTTACTTGGTGGGTATAAAGGAATAAGGTACAAATACAAATACAAATTAAACCCTGTATTTGCTAAAATACAATAATGATATAAGAAATTAAAAATCATCCTATCGGATTTATATGAATTATATGCAGAAAGAATGCTCAAATCGTAATCCTCATATGAACTCCAAAATGATTTTTATTATGTTTTGGGTTTTTGCATCGTATCTTAAAAGTTGCATAAGACATCAATTTTCAGTAAAAAAAGGGCTGTTCAATAATAAATGTCCAAAACTGTATGACATACAATACAGGTATCATTTGACATGAAACTTGACTTTTTCCACTATTGAATCTTTAATGAGTTTTATAAATAACTATGTATCTCCTTTTCATCACATAATTTTATTGTGAGAATGTGAGAAACAAGAGAAATTCGAGCCACTCTATAAAAATTGAATAAAACGAATCAGTATACTAGAGTGAAATTAAAGTCCTCACAAAAGCTGCTGTTTAACTCGTTGAGAATCCGAAAGAAATTTTCACTGAAATTTGTAAAATTTACGGCAACTAAATGTCTGTTTTATAGACAAATGAACAGGTGTATTTTAATGATAAAAAAAATTATATAGTGGGCATCAAAAATGGATACTGTCCTTGCTAACAAAATTTGTAAGAACTAATGTATTGTTTGCTATATTTCATTGAATAATAACTGGTGATGTATGGTTGACTTTAAGACATATAGCATATTTGATAGACATCATTTTGGGAGTATTTCACACTGTTTTAAAAACGTTTGGCAGTAAAATATAGCTTAGTTCTCACTGGTCACCATGTGTATCGAAAAAAAGAGTGAAAACGACAGTTTGTAAGAATATATCAACACTTATTTTGAAATATCAGTAATTGTAGCTATCCATGTTTGTTTGAAATTCAAACACTTAATGAAATTTGAATCCATCCCTTAAAACCCTCGAAACACAATGTACATTAAGATGTACTTGACATAAACAGCATATGTCTGAGAAGAGCCAAGAAATGAGAAAGCAAAATGACAGATTTATATGCCATTTTCTTTAATTTTTAGTGGTCTTTGTTCAAATTTAATTTGTATTCGGGAGGCAGTTTAATTTTTGCAGAGGAAGCACAGAAATGAGTCATTCTAAAACATTTTTGCATTAATATTAGAAATGTTCCAAATTAATGACGTCATAATTCCAAAACGGTCCTCGATCCTTCAGGTCATTCATGTCATTTTTTAAATGAATTATTAAATTCTCTTGATCAAGCAAATTTTTAAAAACATTAAATTTCAGGGCACAATAAAGCCCAAACTGTTCTTCTTTGGCATGTTGCCTGCTCAATGGTATGCGGAAAATGTTGGCTTAATGTATTTAGGTTATGCAGGATATTGCACATACATGTAGGTTAATGAATATCTGACAGTCACTTTTGCACCATATGTCTACCGGATATGCATGTATATTAATGAAATAAACCTCAGAAATGCCGGACATCTAAGTAGGTGTTCGTTCAAGAAGAAACTCTATGTGATTTGTTATGAAACTTTTATAATTGGTAAATAACATTGCTTCAAATGATGCAAAATTTTTCCTACATTTGAATCTATAGCTATTCTTAAATTTCAGATTTTTATTGTCTACGTCATAGTTGTGTGTATTGCACCTCCAACATCAGTGTCATTACGAATACGCTCAAACAAGCCATGCAAATCAAGTAAGACTTCTGGAAAAAAATTAAGAAAAAAAGGACAATCATTTTAATTCTAATACATATCTTTCCTTCCCAATTTTTTAAGAATTATTTATTAGAAATTACATAGGAAATGTAATCAACATAATGATGTTATATTTGTTTGGTGAACTATGTAAAAAACTAGTATGTAGCTATTATAAAAATAAACGCATACAAGAAAATAAATATTTATTTATTCATGTAAGTATAGGCTGATTTGTTTTAATATGTTAGATAACGAAAAGTTATGACAATGTCGAACTATCCCGAAATTATTTTTTTAAGAAGCTCGATAGAACACCTTCTCCGTATGGAATGGTCTTGAATTCAATTAAGGCCCTGCGCTGAATAAGTCAATAACAAGCTAATTCTGAGAATGTGTGTCCCTGTTGAAGAAAAATAAGAAGAGCATGCTCCGATAAAGTATCGAATCCTCCTCCCTTTCCAGAAATTCGCAGATTTATTGAATTGTATACAATAGCAAATGCAATGCCAGTATAGATATCAAAATTTGACTGCCTATCTTAAAATGTATGAAAATTCTTTTGATATTAAATGTTCATTACACAATAAAAATATCTCGTACATAACATGCGTCATTGCCTCTTCTTTTTAGATGCTAAATATTATCATTTAGTAATTGATAAAAAGAGTGGTCTATCATAATTGGGCAAGTGCTCACAATTTATTTCCATAACCCTTCAAGCAGTTATCCATTGATTATTGCATTGTTTGCTAGTTTATTTGTATTATCTTTATTTTGAATCGTTTACTTCTTTTTTAAATTCACTTTGTGAATTGTCTTATTCCCTTGCTGTTTTGCATTCCCCGTAAGACCAGGGTGTGTCACAATTTTAATTATCCATTATGGCGTTTTATTAAATAATTTTCATTCCAAACGTTTATTTTATAAAACTAACATATCATTGACATATGTTTTAAGCTTGTTTTGCAAAATTATTCCAGCAAATACTTTCTATACAAACATCTATCTAGTTTATCTAAATCTTTTTTTTTTCCTTAATGCAAAAGTCACTGAAATATTCCTATTTAAATCAACTGTTTTTTGTACACATCATTATTTTACTCTTAACTTAACCTTTTGAATTCACATTCAATACATGTCATTAGTAGAACATTTAAAAAGAAATAAGGAAATGTCGTCATGATTATATAAATAAAAGAAGGTAATAAATGAAGGTTTCTATAGCCCTTAATTCTGTTTTAGCTCTTTCCCTGTGGCCACAGTAATTATCAGTAAATTTCAGCAACGACAGCACAATCAACAGTATTTATCAGTATTTATCAGACTCAACAGTAAAGACGACACTAATTATCAGTATTTCTCAGCAACAACTAAAATTATCAGCAACAACAGTAATAATAACAGTAAATATCAGTAATTATCAGCAAGAACAGCACCGTATCAATAATTATCAAACATTATCAATAAAATTTGGGATTCTCAGCACTTTTTTCGTTCAGTAGTGATGTAAGATAAGCATAAACTAAAAAAGTCTACCATCAACGATAATGTTAAAAAACAATTGCTTGAGACTTAAATTAAAAAAAAACAAAATCGCAAATAAGCCCTCACTTCTTCTATGCCCTTATTTCTAGGATAATCCTCATGTTAATATACATGTAAATGCTATTTGGTACCTTCTAATCCAATTCTATGGCATTTCATAAATCTTATAATTGTACAATAATTTGAAAATCTCATTTATTAACAACTTTTAAATTTATTATCAACAAATAAAATTTGATGATGTCGTCTACAATTGAACAGTAATCCATTTTCTATATCATATTTTTAAGGTCCTGAAATGCGAATAAAAACCTGTGATACATCAAAGAATTCCTCATAATATTTTGTTTCCCTAGTGAAGGTGTGTGAGAATAATGATTGTCAGAGTGGAACCTGTTTAGTAGACAGTTGTAACAAACGAGGGTACAGGTGCAGCTGTTTTCCTGGTTATAGCGGGGACAATTGTGAAGGTAAACTGCCTTTAGTTCTTATTTAATAAAACGGCTCTAGGCAACGAGCATTTCTTATAGTAGAGATTGTTTTTATACATTGTAGACTATCCTTACTTTGTTTATGAGTTGTTATGCCAGCAATTTTTTTTATCATTGGTCGATGTTTTGACAGCTACGACAGTAAGAATTCAAACCCACATCGCAGATTAATGGCTGTGACGGTGCATGTTGTCGTTTCGTACATGTTTATTGTCGGCGAGAATATCTACCTTGAATGCACATACCTATGTATTACCGTTAGTTGGTATATTTGGTAACCGTGTGAAAAGTGACACATGTACAATAATACTATCATTGGCGATATTTTGTTACAAATCTTCAATCAATAAATCGAAAATTGGAAAATATAGATTTTTAGGTAGTTTGGATATGTATTTGTTATCTCACCTGAGTCGAAAGCTCAAGAGAACTTTTCTGATCAAAATGTGTCCTTTGTCTGTCTGTCATAGTCGTTGATGTGGCCGTTGTAGTTGTAAACTTTTAACATTTTCATCTTCTTAAGAACCATTGGGCAAATTTAAACCAAACTTGCTACAAAGTATCCTTGGGTAAAGGGATTCAAATTTGTTCAAATGAACGGCCATGCCCTCTTCCAAGGGGAGATAATTATGAATAAGTGAGAAATTAATGGCTTTTTTTAAAATCTTCTACTGAAGAACCACTAGACCAGGAAAAATTAAAACTCATGTGACAACCTTTTTTCTAAATATACAGGAAGACGTACCTGTACATGTTATTTTTTTCATGCGCAATCAAAAAATAAAAATTTTAATTTGATGTGATATTTTTAATAATTTAACAAACTCGTAAATAGAGAAAATGAAAATAAAATTATTGAATAATGGCCAGGTAAATATTGTTGTACTGTTAGTATTTGGAGATGATGGAATTTTACAATAATTGTCAAAGACGAACTTTTTTGCAGTAGAATTGTAATACCAACTAGTGCTAATTGTAACGGGGACCGTTACAGATGTTCCCCAAACGCTCCCCATCTCCCTTTTGGTGCCATATTACCTGTAAGCTTCATTAAATAAGACAACTTTATGCATTTGAGACTTTAACAACGTTTACCCAGAAGGGTACCAAGTTCATTCAAATTTTAGCATTGCACGCGTGCGCATGCGAATGCATGTGCGTAATGACCATATCATCTTGTCTTCACAATCTTCGTTTGGGGAACATAATTATTGATTCCTTTTTTACACTTTGACTGATGTATTTACACAATTTATTTACCCATGGGCTTTAAATACTGGTATAAAGAACTTAAAAAAATAAGTACGTACTCATGTATGATTTTAAGAGGAAAATTCACATAAATATATATTTAATTGCTTTAATAAAAAAAAAAAAAATAAATATACAAATATTAAATACAACAAGGACAATTCAAATAAATAAATATAAAATAATATTTTAACTATCAAAATAGATTTACACTGCAACTTTACACGTTTTGCTTGTATGTACAATGTTTGGATTTATATTGAAAATCACCACGTTTTATCTTTAATCCCAATCGACAGATCAATATGTTGTTCTATTGGTTGTCGCGCTGATTGGTTAATCGCTTATACTGATTGACAGCTCTGTAAAGAAATACCGAACGCGCGTTCGCTCTGTGGGACCGCTACTGAATTTTGGGTTCCCTCTCTGGGTTCGTTACGGGTTGGCTTTGGGTGCGCTCCGGGTTTGCTCGGGGTCAGCTCTAGCGCTCTCATGTAGCCTTTACGTCATCAAATGTCGCCATTATCGTGTGCTTTGTTTATCCCTTTCTCATAAAAAAATTCTCTGAAAAGTGCACGAAATTTATCAAAGCTCTGAATTTTTCCAAATGACGAAATAATACATCGTGCATTAAAAAAAAATTGTGTTTACATTAATTATATTAATTCAAAAAAATACTTGCGTATTCTTTAATGAAATCTGTATTTATAAACTTATTCTAGGCAATAGAGATCTGCATGTTATGAAATGTTAAGAATAATAACATGTTTATTTTCATCTACATTAAAGAAAACTCTATTCCAATATGATGAATAAACATAGGCTGTGAATTGTAGATCGGAACACATACTAAACGCTTTTCTTAGATGATTATCGGATAAACCTTGCATGGAACATTGTTATGATAATGAGAAAATCTCCTAGCATATTGTCAAGAGTTTATGTAATTACAAACAAGATAGAACATTTGCCTCTCGACGAGGCCAGTATAAAAGGTCTAAACAACCTTCGTTTCAAAAATATGTTTTTCATATCGGGAATTTATGAATCAGATTTACAGGTTTCTTGTTTTGTAGCTTGTAACGCTTTTGCATTTAAGCCTCTTCTTCTTTTCTTTTTTTTTTAAATTATGTTGATTTTGAAGTTGGTGTCTGTGACAGTCATGGTTGTCAAAATGTAGCTACTTGTCAGACAGACCAGTCTAGTGAACGCGGTTACAGCTGTACATGTACCACTGGCATTGTCGGGATCAATTGCGAAGGTAAACAGCTTTCAATTTTGGGACATGCTTAATTTTTGTTCTTGATTAAAAGACAATTAGGTGCATACCATTAATATGTTGATCAGATGCATTATAAAACAATTTGATGGAGAATACTTGATATCATGTCTAAATTTCATAACAGTTTATAAATCTCGGATTTATTTCTTCTTTGACTTGGTGAATGAAATACATGTATTTTCCATATTTCCCCCCCAAAAAAACACATCCAGGGTCATAACGTTAAAATTGACTAATTTTAATACATTTTTTACCTTTTCTTTCTAAAATACTAATTTAGGAAATCAAAAAGCAAACTGGCTTACTGTAGAAGCAGAACTATTCATGGAAGATAAAATTTCGTTTGTTTCGTTGATAACATTCATCAGTGAAAATTAATCCTACACGAAATTTTTATACGACTTTTTTTGGTTGCATGGGTAAAATTTTAAAACAACGAAGTTTTATGTCCACGGAACCTTTCTTCATGACAAATCAACGCAATATAATGCCAACGAAATTCGTATTACTTAAGAAACATGAACTCAGTAACCAATTTTATGTTCTTGCATGATTTACACTTTAAAATTATTTGTTAATATATCAATAGATTTACGAATATGGACGAATCATATTAACAGATGAGAATGATTACAAAAAGTGTGCAAAATGTGAAATTTAGTGTTTGAGATAAAAAATTTAATGTGACCTGTGGTTGGGTAAATATGTTTTTAATTAATTGAAAAGGGGGCTAATTATGTAACATAAAATGTTTTCCAACTAAGATAATTATGTATACTTACATGTATCAAAGAATTGCATTTATCCTATCATAGCCCAAACTATCCCCTTCCCTGACTCATTGAATATGTATTTTTATATGCCACATCATAATTATATAAACATTCAAACTCAGTTATGTTAAGGACCGATTTGGAAAATGTTACCTTAGCACCGTTTTATTATGTAGTACTTCTTTTAAAAAATGGTAACAAAGCAACTGAATATCTGTAGAACATGTAATATAGCTATTCATAATGGATAGGACTGGGCCGTAGTTACTACCAGTTATATCACATGTATCAGTTGTTTGTCATGTGACTTATATAAAAATAGAATTGCTAAGCTGAATATTTCCTCTTCCAAAAAAGTGCTGGGAGCCAGTCTGTGCTTTTGGAAAATGGTAAAAAAAAATCCGAAAATGCTAATAATAGCAAAGAATTTCTGCTTCACTTAAATTCTGCTAAAAATAAAAAATAATGTTATCGTTTTAGCGATATTCTCTACATTCCTTTCCCTTTACAGTTCCAGTGCTACTACATGTAGATAAATTCATATTCTATATAAATTGCATTTAATAAATCATTTTCTTTTAGTTTTAGTGAGTAGGTTTAAAAATCTAGAGATGATATCATATTTATTAAAGCATTCTTGTAATTGTCAAAACAGTGAATCTAGTCTTTGAATCACCCGTGCTGCGTTATGTCAAAGCTGATGACGTCATATTTGACGAACGACTTTCTTCTATTACTAGACTGTACTGCTATCAAGTATCGCCATTTTACAAGACTTTATAAATAATTTATATCAAAATAAATGAATTCAAGTTAACATTTACGCATCATCATGTCGTTAATTTAGTTTTTGTCGCTTGTTAAATTTTCCATGACGTCACAATTAAATTCCAATACGATGTACCAGGAATGTGAACTCTGAACTTTCTTAATATAGCTTAGAAATCATCAATAAATTGCGAATTTTATTTCAAAAATAATATTATTTTTCCCTCAGGCCGTCCCTAGTTCCTTCGAAGGTCTTTATGTTTAGATTTTTTTTCTTTGTTAAAAAGTGTAATTCCTGCAATCTTTTCTTCCTAAGGATTGTAAGGATATCTTTGACATTGGGAATGATCAATCAGGCGTGTACACAATCTATCCTAATGGCACCATTTTAAATCCCGTCAGCGCCCTGTGTGACATGGAAACACAGGGTGGGGGCTGGACAGTAAGTAATTAGTTTGTTGCTTGTAATTTTAGAAATGTCTTCTGAATATAAACAATATATATAATGACAATCAAAAACCATTGTCGACCGAGGCACACTCAACTACATGCAATATCTAATACTGAATGTACAAAGTCATGTACTTGAGGGTAGTTTTCAAACTAAAGATTGCGGCGCAGAGATAATAATTCTCGAGATGTGAAAATTTTCAATGTTACCCTCTTAAATATTCAGTATGTTTTATTGTATACTGAATGTTTTGTTTGAAAATATATAAAGAAGGATATGGAGATAACGAACAGTATTCAATCTCAAAGTCTATCAAACAATACAAAATAAGAGCAGAGCAAACACGAACCTCCAAAACATCAGAGGTGGGATCAGGTGCCATGGAGGAGTGAGCATCCCCTGTTGACCGGTCACACCCGCCGTTTGCTCCTTGTCATGATCAGAAAATAACAGCAAAAATCCGTCGTCAATTCATTCTTAAATATTGAATAACAATATACAGGTTCGATGAGGCTTCCCATAGAATATTGCAGTGTACTCTGTGCATACACTTCTCTGAACTTCAAATGTGCGACGTCATACTTAAAAATGACGTCAAGTCATTGGAAACTTGAGCTGTAATGCCGGGGAGAGTGTCATAATCTTTTGTCTTAAAATATAATATATCCGAATAATTTAGATAACTTTGTTTTACTACTCTTGTGTAAATGTCAGCGTGATCAAAATACATACGAAAATATACGTTTGACATTTACCCTTTCTAATACTCGTGGATAGAGGCAGAATTCATACAATGTGTATTAAAGAGCCTGGCGCAGGTCATTGATAAGGAATAATTTGAGATGTTTTGTGAAAATCTGTAAGAGGAGTCTCCCCTTTAACTGAATCTTGCTTGGGAAAAATGTAAGATCTCTTTGTTTTAAAACAGATGTCGATATTGAGCGGAAAATACCCTTAGATCTGTCGGTAAGTTGGAGTTTATGTCAAATATTTTGTACCAGAGTAATAGTGTAACTTTTCCCAAGCAAATTTCGGGTTCTCAAGGATGCAACGAGTTTATTTACATGACCAAAAAATTATAAATAATTGTGTTATAGAGCTGCGCCGAAGCGATTTGTGTAAAGCACTTCAAAATTGTAAAAAAAAAAATGACTGTCACGTGATCAACGAGGTCATGTGATATCGTAACAAATATGTTTATTTATAACCAATTTACAGCTATGGAAGCCTTAACAGTAATGCGTGAGTATAAAACACGTCAGTCAGCATTTGACTCAATGATGAATTGTATTTGCTGGAATGGTCAATGTATCGACCATAGAACTTACGACTTTATGATGACTTTAAACGAGACTGCTGATATTCTCGTTTCATCATTTTGCTTTTTAATAATTTACCTTGTTTTAGAAATTGTTCATACGTAGAGCAAGCTCCTGCGTATGGAATCAACAGAGATACATGTATATGCACTCCGTATGTAGGTGATGAAGGTATGTTGCTGCATAAGTGAAGGAAGTTGTCGATAGAAAAGTAAAAGTCATCACATTTATCATAAAGCTTGGTTATTAGATTACCATTAACTTCTTATTCAAGTAAATATCCAAATATGAAACAGATGTGACATACTCTGTGGAATCTTCAATCTCAAGCTCACTAGGATATATCATATCGGTGTAAAAATGGAAATTGGCATTGATAATTGACAATACGTCGTCGATGTATCTAAATGTCGAGTTCAAGGCTACAACAAGTGTTTTCTTCTTTTTTTCTTTTTACGCATAAGATTTTGCACAAGTTCTGCTTCATATGAATATTAAAATAGGTCCGCTGATAATGGAGCACAATTGGAACCCATGGGAATTCTAATAGATTGTTGGAATATCTGGTCTCCAACAATTACATAGATATTGTCAATCAGAAACTCAAGCATCTCTTTGATGTAAACTTCAGAGTACTTGTGTGTGCAATCAGAATGTGTTTTAACAAAATAATTTGCGAATGATGACCAATGACCAGGTAAGTAAATTTAGGAGTTTCATTAAAATAAACAGCTGTCAATGATATCAAAAAGCCTTGACTTTTATTTATCGTGGGGAATTTTTCTAAATAAAAGGCTTCAGCTGTTGATTTTGGTAAAATCTTGTTATTTCAAATTGTCCAAAATTTCTTTGGAATTTTTGTGCATCCACATCTGATTCACATCACTTATTGAATATATTGTTCCATAGTACTCCTGAAGTTATCCTTCTCTACAGTCAATATCTTAGTGAGGAGTAACGAAAGAAAAACAAACTGTGCGATTTTCTTGAAAAGCCTGGATACCTATGACTTTTATTTCTCAATTGTTTGTGTTGCAATAAAAATTTACGTACCTGGCCATTGGTCATTTGCAAAATTGTTTTGTAAAATCACGTTCTGATTGCACACACAAGTACTCTGAAGTTAACATCCAAAAAGTGCTTGAGTTTCTAATTTACAACATCTACGTGGTTTTTAGAGACCAGGTATTCCAACAATCTATGGGAATACCCATGGGTTCCAATTGCGGTGTGTTATAAGAGACCTATTTTAGTATTTATATAAATCAGAATTTGTGCAAAATCTTATACGTGAAAAGAAGAAAACACTTGCTGTGGCCTTCAACTCGACACTTAGATATATCGAGGATGTACTGTCAACTAACAATAGTAATTTCCATTTTTATATCGATACGATATATCCTGGTGAGCTTGAGATAAAAGATACTAACACATCTGTTTCATACTTGGATAATTTGCTTAAAAAGACGTTAATGGTAATTTAATAACCAAGTTAAATGTTAAACCTGATGACTTTATTTTTTCTATCATCAACGTCCCTTACTTATGCAGCAATATACCTTCATCACCTGCATACGGACTGTATATATCTCAGTTAATTCGATACGCAAGCGCTCATTGAGAGTCATCATTTTGTAAGTTTTATGGTCGATACAATGACCTTGTCAGCAGATACAATTTATCATAGAGTATGTGAGGGTGTGACCGGTCAGCAGCGGATGCTCACTACCACCTCATGTGTTTCGGAGGTTCGCCATTGCTCTGCTCGTATATTGTTTTGTTTTATGGACTTCAATATTGAATAATTTGCGTTATCTTCTTTTCCTTCTTGCAGTAAGATGCATCAGGCGTAATTTCTAGACATTTTAATTTAATTTTATTTATATTATTTTGTCACATTATTTCTGAAGATGAAGTTCCAAGAAACACAGTGCCGGGTAAAAGGATTGGACTGTCAAAATAAATAAATAACATTTTTTTTAATCATTCATATATGTAAGTGTCTAAATAATTTTCCTTTCTTTGAATGAATTTAAAGAAAACACATAAGGCATTTATCAGGTAAATATCCTTTACAAATTCGGAAGAGCTCGTCTTTTAAAGGTTATCCAGAAAAGAAATCGAGATGAAAACCTTAGCTTTGAAAGAACATGGGAGGAATATAAAAACGGTTTCGGAACACCAACAGGGGACACCAGGATAGGTAAATTATAAACAATATATAAAAGGTTGACATACTTATTTTTATCTCTGAGTAAAAAGTTTTATTCATGATTCTTATTGAATTTTTATATAGACAATTTTAGATAAATAAAAGTTAAGTTAGATGAAGGAAAAAAGGTAATTGCAAGTGAAATGATAGAACTTTTCCTTTTTAGGAAAGGTTACTGAAATATTGTCACACATAAATATAAATTTTGATATATTTTTTTCCAATTCTACACACAATTTGATATCCCATTGAGCATGAAAAAATGCTTCTGTATTGCAGCACTTCTCATTGATTCTAAATATGCTTCATAACAGGAAATGACGTGATCAATCAATTGACAAAGGGAAATGACTCATCTCTCTATGTGTCCATCACTCTAGCCACGACGTTTTATGAAATGTATGATCGGTTCTCTGTTTCTGATGAAACTGATAAATACAGACTCTTTCTGTCCGGTCCTGCAACAGGCACATTAGGTAAGTGATCAATAACGTAAGAGATAGAGAGAGAAAGAGAGAGAGATAATACAATATACATTTCATTGTGCATGTGTTTATATTTGTTTTCCTTCTTTATTTTTTTTTAAGTGTTTGTTCCTGCTATCGAAATTCTTTTGATTTTGACAAATAAAGGTTTAGTATATACACAGATGATGTAATTGAAAACAATAAAAAAAACCCAAAATATTTGGGTCAGAATGTTTCTTTTGCCGTTTTAAAACATTAAATATGACCCTTTTACTATAAAATTGTGTCTTAATGGGTGAGATAAGTACTGCAAATTCAATTAAACGTTATGCGCAATGTCAAATTTAACGTAAAATTAAAGCGTCAAAATATCAAGCTATACATGTACTATCCTGATGTATCTATTATAAAAGAAAAATTGGAAAAGGGGCTTGATTGTGATTTTTCATGAGTGCATGCAATGAGCTTGGAATAAAAGACAACACAGAGTTTGTCATATCAGCTTCCTATTTCACTATTTTATCAGAAAAAGACGGAATTTTGAACGTCAACTTCCCTAACTTATGCAGTAATTACCTTAATGACATTGGTAATTATGTATATATTTATTTCTTAGTTTATTGATACGCTATATAAACAATTTCAAAGACGAGGTAAGCTATTTTACAAACAAGTTGATAAGACAAGAATATCACCAGTCGTGTTTGAAGTCATCAAATTGTAAGTTTAACGATCGATGCAATGACACTGTAAAAATATAATTTATTATTAAGTCAAAAGCTGACTGACGTTTATAAGTCTCTATGATTTCTTTATTTTCAAATACACTTGGATATATGGAATAGGCAAATGAATATAATTCACTGATAAAACGTCGCTAATAAATATATCAGTTAATTTGACGATAGGCAAGCATTTTCTTCTTCACAAGTTTAAGATTTCGTATAAAATCTGCTTTATATAAAAATACAAAATGAGTATGTTGATAAGGGGGAGCAATTTGTAACCATTGCAATTCCGATAGATCGTTAAAATCTCGAAATGTTGAAAACAGGTTGTTGTACATCCTCCTTTACTGTATTTAATTCTTTTGTAAATGATATATATGTTTTCTGCAAATGTATCCGCCTGCAATGATATTTCAAATATAGTTGAATGGTAAAAAGATTGTTATGACATAAAATCAATATGTGTTTAAATTGATAGGTGACAGAATGTTAGATACAGGGAACGCTCAATTTGACCTATCTGGTATGTACTTTAGTACTCCAGATAGAAACAATGACAATTCGAGTGGTGACTGTGGACGTGATAATGGAGGGGGGTGGTGGTATAACGACTGCCATAGAGCCTTCCAAAATGGCGTTTGAGGTGTTTCTTGGTCTAATCCATGGTATCCGCCAATTCAGAATGGGCTAAGTTTATTAGCTACTACGATGATGGTCAAACGTGTGTAGAGACAAAACAGTTGTTTATACTTAGTGGTACAGATGTGAGGGGAGCAAAGCTGCCCATTTAATTTGTAAAACATTTTTAAGTGATAGATGATACCTTTGAAACATACAACAATGATAAAGATAAAACATATAACTTGTTTTTAAGGGGTTTATGTACATTTATATGTTGGGCAATGTTGTTAGTCATGTCCACGGATATTTTTTTCATCTAAATGATCGGTCATTGTATTCAGAGAAATTATATGTTTTTATTTTAGATCCTATCTAAAGAAAATAAAGCAAAAGATGAAAAAACCAGGGGTATTTTTGACTTTTTTGTTATATATGATTTAGACTTAGTGTGTATCAGTATATAAAAATAAATTCTATTTCAACTGTGTCATTTGCTTCAATTTTAAATAAGATAATTAAGTAACCAACTTTTGTAATAATCGGCGAAGATTTGGAGTTTTGTGTAAAAGTTGGTCAAATTTTAAGGTCAAGGTCAAAGTTTAAGGTTATTACAAACAAATGAAAAGGCTTAATTTTCACATACATTAAAAATGTAATATATTAAAGCCCTAGTCATAATCCTTCAAAAGAATGTTTCAACTTAAGCATAGTGCCGTGGCTCCTTTTTCGGACTTTATCTAATTAACTCAAATTTTCATAATTAGTATACTTCCAAAAAAATTTCATAGAAAAAAGTCGCTTTAGTTTTATTTGAGGTAATTAAAAAAGCCCTCTAGTGGATGTTAATTCCGGAATGTTGCACTTGTCCGAGTTGGGTTTTAATTGTGTCACATTAATATTCGGAGTAGGCGGGGCTGTTTATCGATCGATTGAAAACATGTATAATAGCCAGTTATATATTATACAAAAAAGTAAACACAAACAACTTCTTCACGCCAGTTTCTTTTTTTTGGGGGGGGGGGAGGCGCTGTGGGATCTTGCGCAGGGATGTACATGTACTCCCTCCCTAAATCTAGATATTCCCCTCAATTTCTAGTTGTCTTTACTTGAAAATTTAACACTTAAAATAAACTGATAAAGGAAGCCTACAAGTTTGTAAATAAAAACCAAATAAAATCCCATTAAAGAAAAAAACTTCTTTTGTATTTTCTAAAAGATTAATGTCGTATCGAATATATTACATCTCTCTCTCTCTCTCTCTCCGTACTTTTAAAAGTACCGTAAATTTTACTTAACACGTATTAAGATATAATAAAAATACTAAGCCGCAAAAATTCGATGTTAATTAATTGAAAATGTACATGCATGTAACGGTATAACTAAGATGGTCGCTTTTCGATGCAATGTTATCATCGGAGCTACAGCCACGTGATTTATTGATTTTTTGTATTCACAAAGTTACCTGAGTTTACAAATCACGTGATATATTGGAATACTAAACAGGTCACAATGAGGTCAATGACATGTAAACACCCGTAAATAGCGAAGAAAACGGGCGACGTTTTGTACCTTTTTTCAAAAAGTTTACCCCGAGCGAAGGCTTGCCCAAAATTATCCTTTAAATATGTTGTTTTTCCAACAGTTCTTCACCTTCTGTCCTTTTGAGAAATTTAGCCAGGGCAAGAATGCGCTCATAATATATTCCAGCTTTAAAGATCGGAATAACTTTGAATAACAATTGAAATGCATGACCCCTCTTACAAAACACAGCCGCCTACTTTCCTCTTTCTTACTTTTAATTCCTGTAATTTTGCAAAGTTGCGATTAGGACCTAAAAGAATTGCTGTATCAATCTCATTATGCTACTTTTTGTACTTTATTTTTGCGCAATTTACCGGGGCCAATTACTGAACACGAAGTGCAATAATTCTTTATGGCAAGGTTGGTATTTTAAAAGTTGCTCCAAGGTCACGGATAAATAGTCAAAGTTTCTGGTATCCGATAAAGCGTCTTCTCACAAGGACTACACAAGTGAAGAATGAAAGCCCTAGCCCTAAACGCTAAAAAGTTATGCCGAGATTTAAGTTTTTTTTAGTAAGTATAGTAATATCCAAGATGAAGGTGAAGATCAAAAGGTCAAATTTCTTGGTTGTACACAAAAAATACATACCTAAAGTAGCATAGTCCTGTTATCTACTGTTCAAAAGATATGGCAAACGTAAAATTTTGATTTTCTGTGTAAAAGTGGGTCAAACTCCAAAATCAAGGTCAAAATGGGAAGTTTTGTAGTATTCAAAGGTCTTGTCAGATGGAATGCACGTATGAAATATGAAAGTCATATTTGAACTAAATCAAAAGTTATGGGCAAGGTTAAAGTTTTTGACGGCAAACAGACAGACATACAGCTAGACAAACAAACAGACAGACAGATGGATAGACAAGACAAAAACTCTATACTGTAAACTAAATTTCGTTTACGGGGGCATAATAACGAAATAACGAGAAATTAGTATATGTGTAAATAGGCATCTCCAGCAATGCACGTCTTGATATAAAAAAGAAGAAAAAGTATTGCATCATACATTGGCTGCGAGAATCAACGTCCACTAAGCGGTTGCTAGCAACATTTCGTGATGACCCTGTTTTTCATTCTAAATTAAATGTATGAAGGAAGAGTTGTAAGTGCTGACAGACATTTTTGTAGTCAGGTCATTGACCGTAGATTTAAAATATTAATTTATTATTTTTTCTTAGCATGTTTGGTCTGATTGAACTGCTGCAAGGAATCAAAAGCAGCAATATGGATCCTATTATATTTTCACATGTTGGCACTTTCAAATATTAAAACATTTTTGATCTCCTTGGGTGATTATGTTGCAATGTCACATCTATCTAGCTTTGGTCAGCTCTCTTAAAATTGTTGTCTTTGTTGCTTTATATCTATTTTATGCAGATAGAAATCGATAACATTATTTTACGGAAAAGAGATTATAATTTTTTGTCGGGATCGGCCTGCAGCCTTTGGAATAATAGTCGGAAAGCTCTGAATCAACATTATCTTCAACAAATTTCAGGAGACAGAGAAGGTGAAATATTTAATTTTTTTTTTTAATGAAATATTTGTCAGAAATATAACATTTATATACTGATACAAAATAAAATTTATCACCCTTTTGTTAAGGATGGTACATGAATTAAAAATAGTGCACAATGCATAAAACCCTTTTGCATTGTTCACCTATTTTTCATTAAATACGGTTTTATTATGAACATGCATAATAGTATTTTATCATTATTTTGTTTGTATTGTGGGGAGCACACAGGATTGAAACTCTTTTTCTTTCATTTTTTTTTTTTTGGTGTTTTAGTATGGAATTTATTGTGTTCTTGACAAGTTTGATTTAAGTTTTGACATTCAGTTTCAGAAAGAATATGAACTTCGCATCAACATTTTTTTTAATATTCTAATAGATTTAACATTTACGTAAGCATCATTGACAATAAATAATTTAATTTTGTTTGTTTGTTAGAATCTCATTTTCCAAAAATAAGATTAGCAAGTTATTTATTCATATAATGATATGGAGATAACGAACAGTATTCAATCTCAAAGTCCATTAAACAATACAAAATAGGAGCAGAGCAAACACCGACCTCGGAAACATCAGAGGTTGGATCATGATTATGGTTTGGCATGTCCCCCCCCCCTTTACAACAAGCTGAATCATCGGTATTCATGCAATCTCATCATTTCCAAATCAAGACCCCCTGGTAGTAGTGTCGGCCACAATGGGGAATCAAAGAACATAGGAATGCATAGGAAAATTCTTATAAAATCTTCTTTTCAAGAACAGCAAAATTATGATTCGTCATGCATCTGTTATTACCTCCCCTCGTTTTTCCATCGTCTGTTACATTGGTTGTATAATTGTACAACCTGATTTGAGTCAGTTTACGTTTTTTCATAATCTGTTCAATTCAGTAAGCTATATTGATTCTTATAAGTTTGAATTAAATATTATGTAAAAAAAATTAAGAATATGCATAGCGTCAGAATTGAAATTTCATATTGAATATGCTACACTTTAAGTCTTCCTAAATGAAAATGAACGATTCATTTTTCTTATTTATGAAAAAAGTCAACAGAATGCTTCAAATATGTTCCAAAATAAACTGTGTAAAAATAAGCAAAATTAAACCACTTGTTTCAGATATTTTTACAATTCTAACTTTTCAAAAGAATTTTTGCATGGTTACATATACATGTGGGCAAAGCTGGGGACATTTGAAAAGTACTGCTCAAAATTGATATAATGGAGGACTATTGTGGAGACCCTATGTCCCTACAGCAACCAAAGGGTACCGTGCTGATACGTATACCTGTATAAAATTGTTCATTAACAACAGATTAGTTCACTACATTACATTCTCTACCTTGAGATCGGTCGTTTTGTTTGTTGCTTTAGATCTTCAGTAACTTCTGTTGGACTAGTTTATCTCACTTTGATTTTTTTTCCTTTCCCTATCGATCAAGAACATATCTATAGATTCTATGTGGAATTGTAATTTAATTTTAAAGTGATTGAGGGATATTGGCATTTTTCATATCAAGTAGATTTTATTTTTACAAATCAATAATAAACATGTATATCGGAAGAAATCGGCCTTTACTTTGTGCGTGCCCCCGAGACATTGATCAGATTAAATAACCCATCCGATTTGTCTACAAAGGTAGCCCAAATTACATGTCTTTTTTGTGACTTCTTTTTAAAAGAGTTCCACAATTTTAGAGTTCCAATACTCGCTACTATATTTGCATTCTCTCTGTTTTCCCCAGCGTTAGGCCTGCACTAAACAATCTCATTCATAGGACAAAAGACATAAATTCGCCTGCTATGAGTGCAAATTCATTTTCCACACTCGCATTGTACAAGCTACACAACATTGCTCTCTAAGGCGTTTAGAGGTCTCATTTTTTTGGAAAATGAACTAATCTTAGTTTTTAATATAAAACAGTTCAAAATAAGAAGAATTTTTGATTTTTTGCTTTAAAATCAATAATTTTGGGCAGAGTATTTAATCGCATAATAAATTTTTTTTTTACTAATTGAAAAATCATTTTTTTTTTATTTTCTACTAATATTGACGTATATGTTTTAAAAGAAAAATAACTTTTCACGCTTGGGTATTTATTTCAAAAACGCTTTTAACTTAAAGAAATATATTTAAGGACTTCACAAATCATGGAAAGACATCTTTGGCTCATAACCAAAAGTGAAGCATTCTCTTTCTTTGTCTAACTGTCTAACTATTGGTTCCCCAAAGGGTTACTTTGAATGATGACGTCTCAACTTCATTAGAAGATATATTAAAGTAATGTAAAGATGGTGCAGTTTTTAATTCAGATACTTACTATGACTGAGAGGAAAATATTTAACAAATTGTGATTTATTAGGAAAAAAATGCATTAATTAGATCTACTGATTTCATGGTAGGGTGCTTTTCTTCACTGGAGACAATCGGCCATTTTCTTATTTAAGTCAGAATTTCTACAGGGAAGAATGCAAATAAAAGTCATAAATAACAATTATTCAGTGATCACTGCATTATAAATCGTAAAAGCCATGCTAGGATATTTTTCCAAGATTAGATTGAGCCCATCATAGAGTATGCCACCAGAGCAACTGCTATATATTACGTCACATTAACTGAATAACTTTGTTTATTTCTTAATAAGTAGCCTAAATATGACGAACTTATAGCATTTAAAGTAAATTTATGTGTATTCTATAAGCTCACCTTAGCCGAAGGCTCAAGTGAGCTTGCTTTTCTAAACAAAGTATTTCCGTTGTCTGTCGTCGTTGTCGTTGTAGTTGTAAACTCTACAGGTTTTCATCTTCTTCTCAAGAACCATTGGGTCAATTTCAATCAAACTTGCCAAAAAGTTATTTAAGGTGTAGGGGATGCAATTTTTTTCAAATGAAAGGCCTGACCTTATTCTAAGGGAAGATAATTATGAATCTGTAGAAACATCAATGGCATATTTTCAAAATCGTCTTCTCTAAAACCACTGGGTTAGGAAAGATAAGACTCATTTATAAACATCCTCAGGTAATGAAGATTCAAGTTTTTTCAAATCATGACCCCCGGGGGTAGGGTGGGGCCACAGCTGGGTATCAAGTTTTAACATAGGAATATATAGAACAAATCTTTTAAAATCTTCTAAAGAATAGCAAATCCATAATTGGTTGTAGTTAAATGGAAGTATCGTTTGGTAGTAAAGATTCAATGTTGTTTAATTCATGACCCCTTGGGGTAGGATGGGGCCACAATTGGGGTTTAAAATTTTACATAGGAATAAATAGGATTTTTTTTTTTCAAATTTTCTTCTCAAGAACAGCAAAGACTTGATTGGTCATAGTTAAATGGAAGTATCCTCTTGTAGTGTAGATTCCAGTGTGTTCAAACCATGACCCCCTGGTGATAGTGTCAGCCACAATTGGGGATCAAAGTAAATAGGAATGCATAGGAAAAATCTTATAAAATATTCTTTTCAAGAACAGCAAAACCATGATTCATCATAGTTATAGGAAAGCATCCTAAGGTAGCATAGATTCAATTTTGTACAAAACATGATCCCCGGGGTGTGGTGGAGCAGTGATGGGAGATCAACGTTTCACATAGGAATACATAGAAAAATCTTCAAAAATCTTCTCAATAACAACAAATTCAGGATTGGTCATACTTAAATGGAAGTATCCTCTAATAGTGTAGATTCAAGTTTGTTCAAATTATGACCCCTGGGGCAAGGGTGGGCCATAATGGGTTATCAAAGTTTTAAAAAGATTACATAGAAAAAGTCTTTAAAAATCTTCTCGAGAACAGCATCGGAAAAGGTAATGTAAATTTAAATGTGTTCAAATTATGAACAACTAGGGGAATAGAGGAGACATTAAAGTAGATCATAGTAATACAAAGGTTTATAAAGGCTACATCAATAAATTTGCATCTTATAAACAGCAAAGCCGTTTAATATCATGTTTATTTAAAGGATTCCGTAGGAAATATAGATTAAGTTTGTTCAAATCCCCACTCCCTCCGTTATCTCCTCAACCTATTTTTACTATTATACTGAAACGCAAAAGAAACGCAACATGCAGTAATCTACAAATGTTTGATTTTTATCTAATTATTTTATAAAATGAATTCAGTAAGGCTTAACTATCTTTTCAAATCATGAAAAATTTGATAAAAAATGTTAAATAATTATATTTTGACATTAAAAAGTACAATATGACTGTTAAAACACCCCCTTCAAGACATTCAATTAAGGCGTGCATGGCTGTCCTACACAACAACTGCAGCTTAATTTCTCCGATGCAATAGGTTCATCAATATAGAGAGTTCTTAGCAAAGGTAAGATTCTTTGGCATTTTTAAGTGCCTGTTTTTCAGATGATAAGGAGGGATTTTCTCTAACCTAGCGCTCTGGAGAAACACTTGAACTTATGGTCCTGGGAATGTCATTTAATTTAATTACTTGATACGTAATTAGAGCTTGCTGAGGTGTTATGCATTGTATTTCTGAATCGGCAACTCTCCATCACCTTTATTCTGCGTACTTACGTCATATTCAGGAAGCCTTAGCATTGCCACAGGAATCGAAAGGAGCGTTTATTTTAAGAAACATTACTTGAATACTTATGATGAACAGTTAAAAATCCTAAGGCTTAAACTCTATGATATTGTCGAATGTTTTGTTAAACATGCAGATTTTTATTTCTGTTAAGCAGACTCAAACTTTACTTCCAGTTATTGTATGAAAATCGTTCAACCGTAAAATTACCGATCATTATAAAATAGATGATATGAATACTTTTAAGAATCAGAATTCATTACTATGTATCATTATTTCTCCCAAAAAAGGATGTTGCGTTTCTTTTGCGTTTCAGTATATATTAAAATTTTAGAAGCTGAAAATATTTTTGCTTTTACCTAGCCGGTTTCTTAAGTGAGCGTCGTGATTCCTGGGCCTCTTGTTGTTTATTCCAGCTTCATCAAAGTGGTGTTCTGATGCTGACTATTTGAAATTTAATATTGATATTCCTTTCCCGTTTCCGATATTCAAATAATCGGAAAAATAATGATAAGAATGTCAACACTTTTTGAGCACATATATATTATAATGAAGTTAGGATTCCGAAATCGTATATACATTTATATATGCCAAGCACTAGTGATTTATAGTTATAAATCGACGATAACTCTATCTTCTAGAGACGTGTGACCTCTGATTGCATTTCACTGAGGGACGGTACATTTATGTATTTTATCCCATTTTGTATAAATTGCTAAAAACATTTTCTTTATTATTAGTAATTTAAAAATGATTCTATTTTCTCTAGTGCAACATTAAGCAATTCATACTTGTTTTTGTTATGTGATCAACAAAGTTACACTACTTAGTCAATACATTTTTGTACTAGTAAGAAGTGATTTTAGGGCAACAAAATAACAATGTATTAAGTTAAATCCCCTTTTCATTTTATAAAAAAAAATATTTAGATTTTTCTCTCAAGTGTATGATCATAGATAAAGCGCAGAGAAAACACTGACCTCCAAAGATGTGAACATGCAAAGCTCATTACGCTTACAGGGGAGGGGGGATTCCCAGATAGCATGACTTCGTTGGGCCAACGTTGGCTTTTGGTTGTATGGTTGGTGGAGTGTTGGCGTTGGGGAACAGATGTAGGCCCAACGTTGGTCCAACGTTCATTTACGTTGGCATGAAAGCTAAACCAACGGTGTCGGACATGTGATATTGGCCAAACGTTGGTCCAACGTTCATTTACGTTGGCATGAAAGCTAAACCAACGGTGTTGGGCATGTGATATTGGCCCAACGTTGGTCCAACATTCATTTACGTTGGCATGAAAGCTAAACCAACGGTGTTGGGCATGTGATGTTGGCCCAATATTGGCCCATTGTAGTTACATGTTGACAAGGTACGCGATTTGGTGTTGGACATTAAGATGTTGGCCCAACATAGGTCCAACCGAGTAAATGTTGACATGGATTAAGACCTTTGTGTGTTAAATATGAAATGTTGGCCCAACGTAGGTCTAACTGAGTACACGTTAGTGGCAAAACATTGCCACTTATTGTTGGTTATTCAATGTTGGCCCAACGTTGGCCCAGCTTAATAAATGTTGACAATATAATGATGCATTGCTCTGTGTTGGGCGTGCTTGACTGAACTGGAGTTGGTCCAATAGTAGGAATACTGGGATTACTAGTACATGTACAGGTAGCCTGTAATGTTTGAGATGAAATGCTGGTCCAACGTTGGCCCAATGTTGCGAAAAGTATTCATCAATTTAGATTTATCTATTGTAAATCGATGGTAATGTAATAAGCAACTCATTATAAACATGTGATCTATATTATATATTGAATGGAAATTATGAGACAATCCTTATAAGTCTGTGAAATACATATAGTAATTTTATATCTTGGTAGATTCTATATTTAGCATCATTGAATCAAATTTAAAGTGCTGTGTTTTGCAAGTTTTGGGCTCCAAAATAAATAGGTCACTGGTGAAATTCACTGGCTCGGCAGGTGACTCATAGGTCTCCAAGGAAACCGTCATCTTTAAATCAGTTTTTTTTAACCGCGCACTTTAACAATCCAAAGCGTATGTGTCTTTTTAAGTGAAAGCAAGAATTTTAATCCTTTCAATGTAAGTATAGCTTTTGTTTTTGTTATTGAAATAATTAATAATGTGAAATACACAACATTGTAATGGCCTGCATGTAAGCTTTCAAATTATTGGTACCAGGTAGCTGATTAAACAATTGTAATTGATGACGACCTTAACTTTTATAGGAATTGGCGGGCTTGAACAGAGCAGATATGTCCGGATCTGTAAGTGAACGCAAGAATGTTAACCAGTGAAATGTAAGTAACTATTTTGTATTTGTTATTAATAATTACTAATGTGAAATTCAATTTTAAGGATTGCTTTAGTTTAAAAATATGTGTGATGCTGATTAACATTTGAAAATACTATTTTAATTGATGACAATCTTAACGTTTGCAGGAATTGCCGGGATGGAAAAACCCTCTTCACTCTGAAACTATTGATGTGGCATTTCTGTATATGGAAGGCTCTGATTTATATGTGTTCATGGATTCTAAGAACAGATAAACAACAGAAAAAGTGATAAGTGATGCAAATATGACCTTTCAAAACTCTACAGTTAGAACTTGAAGACTCTTATATCAAAGTGATATTTAGTAGTGGACATAGTGATGTGGAGTGTACTTGAGAAACATTGAACTTTCTACCTCTTCCCTCTTTTAGTTACATTTCATGGAATACTTTAATGAAAGTGAAAGTGGCAAAGAATATATTGTGATACATTTTAGGAGGAAAAAAGTATTTGACCAAACATGGTGAAATTAATTGTGTCGTATAATCTGGGAAATAAAAATTACATAATTTAATTAATTTTGTAAGATATTTGTATTGAGGAATAATTGTGTCATTGATATTTCAAGAAACAGCTTTGTATCAACGTTGAACCAACGTAATAACTATATTTTGAACTGAGGTCCAATGTAGGGCCAACGTTACAAAATATTTGGTTAGCATCCGTACGTTGGAATAGCGTTGTACCAACGTTGGCATTTCAACAAAAGCGTTGTACCAACGTTGGACCAACGTCGGACCAATGTCATGATTATATTTTGAACCGAGGTCCAACGTTGGGCCAACGTTAAAAAATATTGCGTTGGCATTGGTATGTTGGAATAACGTTGTACGAACGTTGACAAATGAACAAACAGTATTGTACCAACATTGGCCGAACATGTTGGGCCAACGGCGCGCCAATGAGCAGTAAGACATTGGGCCAACGTAAAACTGCCAACATTGGCCCAACATAACCGACATTTTTGGGCCAACGTTGGGCCAATGTCCTCATGCTATCTGGGTTATTCTTTAGAAATGCGTTCGGAAATAATTTTATCTTGATCCTAAGGCAACATATTAAAATATATATTAAATTGACACCCCTTATTGTGAAAATGTTGCTAAAGATTTCCATCCCAAAAATCAAGGAGAACGCTAAAATAGGCTAAGCCTGCTGTCAAATCCCATTCACAATAACATCAGTGGATAAATTATTATTTAAAGGACAAGTGCACTTAAGCAATACTTAATGGGCCCTTTATGTGCCATTTTACTTCAATATATATTTCCAAATCGTTCTCTATTGGTAATAGTTAGATAGTACTGGATATTTCTAATCAAAAAGCATGTTAAGCGCCGCTTAAATCAGCATGGATTTGAAACAATAGAATATTTTGATAGGCCTATGGATACCCTAAATCCGGAAAAGTCGTACCGTACCTTCTTTTAGTGTCGTTTATGTAAATCAATAGAATAGATAATTAAATCGATACTTGAACAAGCTGATGGTGGATCAAAGTCGGGCGCGTTTGCGGAATGATATTTCTTGCGCCAAACCTGTTTTTAAAAATATGGAATTAAGTTGTGTAATTGCCTGTATCTAAAATGAATAAACTAAGAAATTGGTACTCTTGCATTTGAAAAATTACAATAATAGTTTCATTGAATTTGAAATTGAAAAGGAGTGTTATAGGCGGCTTTTAATACCTGTTTCATTGTCTTGCATGAAGGTTAAAAATATTTGACACTTTGTGAACGAAACTTAGGTCTCCTTACCCTCCCGTGTTCTTAAAAACATATACATACAAACATCTCTAAGCGGCACGACTTTGATTACTGAAACAAAACCTGCCTATGTTTTACAATGAGCACTTTTGAGGAATGCTTACCTGGGAAGAACTCACGTGACTATCAGTATTTTAAATAATTTATTCCACACGTGGGTTCAGCATGGGTCATACAGGTAAATAGCTCTCACTTGCTATAGGAAAAACATTGTACTTTTTATACATTTTTAATATTTTAAGTACGAGCCTAATCGTGTGCAAATTTCATACTTTCACACAAGTTTTATATATGTAATATGCGTCTTTTGTTATTCGCACAAGTTTGCACAACGTTAGGCTCATAGTTAACGAAGGCTTTGAAATGAATGACCGTTCTCGATTTACTATAGAAAATCGCCAATGTCGTCTGACCCCTACCACATTGTATAGTTTTGTTTTTTGTATATTCGTGGATTTCAGCGGTAAAATTTGTTGAATCGTATGGTTTAGATATCAAGTAATGATTTGAGATGAAAATTTTTGCTTGATTTGATTGTTTATTTTTTCACATTTTACCGGGGCCCATAAGTGCACTCGTTCTTTAAGTTATTATAGAGTAATTTATTCTATTAATGATAATAATCAGAACAGATGCCCTTTCAAAATATAAACGATAATTATTTTTTTTTATTTTAACCATAATGTGCAATTGTAATATTGAATTTTAATTAATAACCAAAGAATCTATTTTATGAGTTGATGTTTATCAATTATTGTAAATGAAGCTTACGTAAATGTTTTCAAATTAAAAAAGAGATGCTGATGGGCAATTTACATTTTATTTAACAAATCGAACGTAAAAAGTTGTTAAAATTTACATCAAACTTGTCAAGAACACAATTCTACACCTAACTCACCAAAAAAAAAATAGATGCAAGGTTTTTATGCTTCTCCGGAAATATGAACAAAATAATGATAATATGATATTATACATGTTCATGACAAACCCGTTTTTGAAGAAAAAATAGATCTATAGCTAGGTGCAATGAAAAACGGGTCAGGTACATGGTACATGTGCACTGTGTACAATTTTCACTTATGGAACATACTTAATAATGACATTGATAAGAATAAAATTACGTCAGTTTAAAAAAAAATGTAATATGAATCATGAAATACAATAATGCTCAAAAAGCTGACTGAAGCTAGCTGTGACAAAGTAACATGATTATACCCCAGCAGAAAAAAAAATGTTTTAGATATTTTAAAGTATCAACATATGAATATAAAATAATAATTGAATTCAAATTGCTGCTTTTACATGAAGCAGTCCCAGCGAAAAATATATTAAGAAGAAATATTTGTAATAGTTTGATTCAATGACTCGGCTATGATATGGCCAATCGATTGATCACTTCGTGAAATCGAAAAATAAGACAATTATTCCTTAAAGAAATCCCTTAGAATACAGAATAAATTATCATATAGCTTGATCATTTTATATCTCTTTCACAAATATCTCATCCATATCCTAACTCATCTGTCTCTTTAAAAAAAATTCATGAACGAAAACTTAAATCATCAACTTCCGCATCACATCTATACCAGATAGAATAGAAAATTGTATGTCCTAGACACGTTTTACCATCATCATCGTAGCCTTTACATTCGACCCAGTGAGCAGCGGATACCATGGAGCCATCCAGGCGACTCCTCCATCCCAGGGACCATTGAGAAAGGCTCGGTTGCACGTATTGAACCACCATCCTCCTCTTCTGAGAGCGGCACAGTTTATATACCTAACAGGGTCATTGTCTCGCTCCGGTGTACTAAAGAACATACCGGATAGGTCTTTGTTAGGATCCCCTGTATTTAACATACTGTCGCCTATTGAATTAAAGAAGCATTGGATATGTTTATTTCCATATACTTTATTTTTTTTTCTAGATTGATTACAAATGAATTTATTGCTGTAAAAGAGGATCAAAGACATTCTGTTGTGCAATATTTGAATTGAGAATCAGGTATTCCAAGAATTGCATCTATCTTAATTTTGATAGATGCAACTTGCGCCTTTTTTTATAAACATACTCATTTAAAAAAAATCTTGTAAAGATAAAAATAATAAAGCATCTCATACGTGTGAAAATGGAAAAAAAAGCTTTTTTGTGTTCAAGGCCAACTGAGATATTTTGACTACATATTACCAATGAAGTTTTGTTCACTTTATTCTTATTTCGATTCGATATATTCCAATGATTCTAGAATAACAGACACCACAGAGTCTCGCACATCTGTTTCATATTTGAATATTTTACTAAAAGACCTAAACAAAATAAATCAATAATAAGCATAAAGATTTTAAATTTTCTGTCGTCGACTTTCCTTACTTATGTAGCAATATACGTGAAGTCTTATTAATTAATGTTGGGCATATGTTACGCATGATCATTTTTAAGAGGTGTAAGCTATTGACCATGAAGTAAATAAAACAAGGATCGCAACAGCCTACCGGTATTTTGAAATCATTATTTCGTTTGTTTGTATGTTATTTAACATCTCTGTCGAGAATTTGTCACTCATATGGAGACGCCACCATTTGCCGGTGGAGAGCTGCAAATTGTTTCCTATACTCAGCACTCGGGGCCACCGAGCAGGGAGGGATCTTTATCGTGCCAGCTTCTATTGCATTACGGGACCTCGGTTTATACAGTCTCATCCAAAGGACCGGTCTCCACGTCCCACAGTCGAATTCGAATCCTTGACGTAAGGATTAACTCCTTACTTTGCGACTCTAGAGCATACGCTATAACCACTGCACCACGCAGGCGACCATTATTTCGTAAGGAAGTTCTATGTTCGCTATAATGACCCTGTCAGCAAATACAATCCATGCAAGTGAAATACTGACTGACAGTTTTCACATTAATTGTTTGACATCGATTTAAAAACAAACACAAATCTCTCTCTCTCTCTCTCTCTCTCTCTCTCTCTCTCTCTCTCTTAAACACCCAATTTTACGTTAACGCCCCCAAATTTTACCTGACACAAGATTAAAAATATACCGCCTGTCAATCATTACAAAAAACTATAGCTTCTGATTTGATTGACAGGCCACCTACCTGTGCTACCAAATAATATGAATTTGCAACATTTACCTGGTCTGCGTCAAGCGCTTTCATGTACCGCGTAGAAGTTGCTATGTATACACAGTGGTTAATGAAAATTAAAAATTATTATCAAGTCACTGTTATATTAGCGGGCAAATTTATTTTTAAAGAAGTAATTGATTTCTCCACGGCTGTTTAGTACTTGTAAGCGATATAACGTCCAAGATATTAAAACTGTAGAGTTTTCGATTAAGAAATAGCGGTTTTTAGAGCCCTTTCTCTCTTCCGTAACTGGGACTTTGATCAG